GAATTGGATTGGGTCCTGGGTTCCATTCCAGTCAAGGGCACATGCCCGGTTGCGGGCTCATCCCCAGTAGGGGGCGTGCCGGAGGCAGCCGATCAATGATTCTCACCATTGATGTTTCTATCCCTCTCCCTTACTCTCTGAAATCAATACAAATATATATTTTTAAAACGTTCTAAATTAGGTAGTGGTGCCGAAACCGGATTGGCTCAGTGGATAGAGCGTCGGCCTGCAGACTCAAGGGTCCCAGGTTCGATTCCGGTCAAGGGCATGTACCTGGGTTGCGGGCACGTCCCCAGTGGGGGATGTGCAGGAGGCAGCTGATCGATGTTTCTCTCTCATCGATGTTTCTGACTCTCTATCTCTCTCCCTTCCTCTCTGTAAAAAATCAATAAAATATATTTTTTAAAAAATAAATAAATTAGGGGGAGAGAACCAAGATGGCGGCATAGGTTAACGCCGGAGTTTGCTGCTTTGAACAACTACTTCAAAAGTGAAACCAAAAAACGGAAGGGACATCACCCAGAACCACAGGAACGCTGGCTGAGTGGAAGTCCTACAACTAGGAGGAAAGAGAAACGCATACGGACACTCAGAGGAGGCACAGTGCTGAGGTCAAATTCTGAGGTGCGGAGTGCGCGGAGCGGGCTGGCGGCGGAGGGCGCGGTTGGCGTTTTCAACCGGGAGGGAGTCGCAGACTCTGAGCTCCAGATCCGGGCGAGTCTTTAGGGACCCACACTCAAACGGGAGAAGCGGGACTGTCTGGCTTTGGTCAGAGCGAGTGCAGCTTTCTCTCTGAGCTTTGCAGCGGGTGCTGGGACTCTGAGAGGCAGAGCCCCTGGGGACAGGACTGAGAGCCGCCATAACTGCTCTCTCCGGCCCACCCTGTTGATCCTGTGCGACCCGCCCCGCCCAAGCCCTGCACACAGGCATTTGCCGGATAGCCTCAGGCAAAGGCTAGATTAGCACCTCCCTAGAGGACAGAAGTTCTCTCACTGCTGACACAGCTGATTCTCATAGCCACTTGGCCTGGAGGTCAAACCCTCCCTGGAATTAGCTACAACAATCAAGATTTAACTATAAGACTGTGAACAAAGACCACTAGGGGGTGCACCAAGGAAGCATAACAAAATGCGGAGACAAAGAAACAGGACAAAATTGTCAATGGAAGATATAGAGTTCAGAACCACACTTTTAAGGTCTCTCAAGAACTGTTTAGAAGCCGCCGATAAACTTAATGAGATCTACAAGAAAACTAATGAGACCCTCGATCTTATATTGGGGAACCAACTAGAAATTAAGCATACACGGGCTGAAATAACGAATATTATACAGACTCCCGACAGCAGACCAGAGGAGCGCAAGAATCAAGTCAATGATTTGAAATGCGAGGAAGCAAAAAACACCCAACCGGAAAAGCAAAATGAAAAAAGAATCCAAAAATGCGAGGATAGTGTAAGGAGCCTCTGGGACAGCTTCAAGCGTACCAACATCAGAATTATAGGGGTGCCAGAAGATGAGAGAGAGCAAGATATTGAAAACCTATTTGAAGAAATAATGACAGAAAACTTCCCCCACCTGGTGAAAGAAATGGACTTACAGGTCCAAGAAGCGCGGAGAACCCCAAACAAAAGGAATCCAAAGAGGACCACACCAAGACACATCATAATTAAAATGCCAAGAGCAAAAGATAAAGAGAGAATCTTAAAAACAGCAAGAGAAAGAAACTCAGTTGCCTACAAGGGAATACCCATACGACTGTCAGCTGATTTCTCAACAGAAACTTTGCAGGCCAGAAGGGAGTGGCAAGAAATATTCAAAGTGATGAATACCAAGAACCTACAACCAAGATTACTTTATCCAGCAAAGCTATCATTCAGAATTGAAGGTCAGATAAAGAGCTTCACAGATAAGGAAAAGCTAAAGGAGTTCATCACCACCAAACCAGGATTATATGAAATGCTGAAAGGTATCCTTTAAGAAGAGGAAGAGGAAGAAAAAGGTAAAGATACAATTTATGAACAACAAATATGCATCTATCAACAAGTGAATCTAAGAATCAAGTGAATAAATAATCTGATGAACAGAATGAACTGGTGATTATAATAGAATCAGGGACATAGAAAGGGAATGGACTGACTATTCCTGGGGGGGAAAGGGGTGTGGGAGATGCGGGAAGAGACTGGACAAAAATCGTGCACCTATGGATGAGGACAGTGGGTGGGGAGTGAGGGCGGAGGGTGGGGCGGGAACTGGGAGGAGGGGAGTTATGGGGGGAAAAAAAAAGAGGAACAAATGTAATAATCTGAACAATAAAGATTTAAATAAAAAAAAAAAAAAATAAATAAATAAATAAATTAGGTAGTGGCCGTGGTTGCGCAAATTTATGAGTGCATTAAAACCCTAGTTTACATGTTTAAAGTGAATTTTATTTTATGGGATGTGAATTATATCTCAAATAGCTGCTCCTGCAGTTGCCCCCTAGAGGCCCACGGAGAAGAACTCGGGGGACTCTGGCCCCGCCCCTCCACGTTTCTTCTACTTTTAGCGAGAGCGCGGGGCTCCCCCCACACCTCCGCCCCGCGCCCCCCGCGCCCAAGTGCGCAGGCGCCTCTCTGGGTCGGGAGCCGCGGAGGGCCGATCCGGCGCCGGAGGTGACTCCTCCCGGCGCCCCGGGGCCGCCCCGCCTTCCTCCCGCCGGGACGTGGCCGCCAGGGCGCCCGCGGGCGGGTGGGAGCCGGGCGATGCGCGGGCTGCCCGCGGGTTCATGCCCTTCCCGCTTGGTGGTCTCCGGGGACGTCCCGCCTGGTCCCCCGGGCGCGGTCCCCAACCAGGGCCGCCAGGGGCTGGTCCCCCCCCCGGGGGGCGCCGGGCCGACGCCCTGGACGGGCTGGCAGCTGCCCCACGGGCCCACGCTCAGCATCTCCCGCTCTGCAGGCCGTCTGGTCCCTGTCACCTCGTCTCTGCGTTTGTAGCACAGAAGCAGCCACAGAGAACAGATAGAGGAAGGACCGAGGCCTGTCCCAATAAGACGACGTATAAACACGGAAACCTGAATTCCGTATCATTTTTACATGTCGTGACATATCCCTTTGATTTCCTTAACCCGGTGAAAATATAAAACCATTCTCAGCCCGCGGGCTGAAACAAAACAAAACAAACAGGAATGCTTCTCTGAGCCCAGCCCCCCTTTCTGGCTCCTCTGGTTTACTCTCTCTTCGCAAACTATCTCATCATTCCATTTTATTTCACTTCAGTGTGTGTTTTAGCAGGAAAACCTAGTTTTTAAATTTTATTTTTTTTATTTATTATTTTAAAATATTTTTATTGATTTCAGAGAGGAACGAAGAGGGAGAGAGGGATAGCAACATCAGTGATGACAGAGTCACTGATCGGCTGCCTCCTGCCCGCCCCACACTGGGGACTGAGCGCGCAACCCAGGCACGTGGCCTGACGGGAAGTCAAACCCTGACCTCCCGGTTTATAGGCCGACGCTCAACCACTGAGCCACACCGGCTGAGCTATTTATTTTTTAAAATAATTCTTTCTAAAATTTCTAGTAACCATGTTTATAAAGTAAAATAAACAAGTGAAATTCATTTTAACATGTTATTTAACTCAATACATCCAAGATAGTATTCCAACATGTAAGCAATAGAAAAGAATTATGAAAGAAATCTTTAAATTCTCTTTTTGGTGGTAAGTCTGAAGCCCAGTGAGTAGTGCACACTTACGGCCCACCTCGCTCGGACTAGCCACATTGTGAGTCCTTGGCAGGCGTGCGGCTGGCAGCTGCCATATCGGATGGTGCAGATTTAGATGGACTGAGACAGGGGTTGTGGGGAGAACTGGTGTGTGATGCCACAAGGGAGAGGGCTGCCCGGCTGAGTCCTGGGAAACATGAGTTTAGGTTGTAAGGGGGCAGCTGCACCATGTGCCCTTGCCAGCCAAGTGAAGCAGCTACACTGAGTTGGACCCTGCCCCCCCCCCCCCCCCCCCCCCCCCCCCCCCCCCCCGCCGCCGGCAAGGCAGGCCCTCGGCAGAGTAGAGAGGTGAGCAGAAGCAGCGAAATTACTTTCATTGGTCAGTGTGGGAAGATGTCACTTACACCCCAGCGTGAGCCTCCACCAGTCGGTTGGTGACACTGGATCGGGTTTGTTGGTGGAGGGTGGAGCAGCGTGCTTTGGAAAGGGAGGGTTAGCCAGGGGGCCCCAGCTTGGTGGTAGGGCCCTTCCGCCGGGCTCTCTGTTGGGGAGAGGGGCTGGAAGGGGACGGACAACTCAGGGGAAAGTAGCAGAAAATGTCAGGGACCCACAGCTTAAAACGGAGGAGACTTTAGTTCTAGGAGAAGCAGGAGTTTCATCATTTAAGGCTTTTAAATGATTAATGTTCCGACACCTCCTTCAGGGCGTGGGGAGGCCTTCTTCCCTCTGATTCCTCCATTCCTCCTGCTGCCACAGGCACGCGTGCCCTCTGAGCCCTGCTCCACGGAGGGTCTTCAGTCAAACTCCAGAGCCTGCGGGGCCCCTTCCCAGCCTGCTCCTCAAGGGAACGTGTGGCCAGGATTAGGTGAAACTGGGAACCTCTGCGCTGGGGAGGCTGCGTGACCCTCTCTCCCCTCCTCGCTGACTGGCTGTGAGGGGAGATGGGCGCCTGGAGTATCCTTTCCCCCAAATCAAACCTGTTTTGCCTGGTGGAGGCTCTGCCCCAGGCCCCGCCACCTCTGTCCCGAGGCAACCCTGAGGGCCTGCAGCTCTCGGGAGAAAACAGAGGGGGGGAGGGGGGGCCCTGAACTCAGAGTGAGACTGGGACCAGACACCAGGATCACAGACATCCGTCACCAGGGTTGTCCCAGAACAAGGATCCTCTGGGGTCCCCAGAGAGGGAAAATCCAGAGGCCACAGGAAGTCAGGGCAGGAGGGCTCGGGCTCTGTGCCAGGAGCGAACACCGGAGGGAGAAGCAGCGCCACAGCCGACAGGGAAGACGGACTGGACACGAGAAAGACAGCCAGGCTGGCTCTGGGCACGTTTATTACAAAATAAAGAGTACAAATCTGGGTAGAAAAGATCCCTGCAGCCCCTGCGATGCCCCGCCCCACAGGCCCCTCTCAGCCGGGCAGGGAGGGCACTCAGATCCGCAGGTCGCCCGCCAGGAGGGCTTGGTACCGGGCGGGTGTGAGGGGCAGGTAGGCGCCCCCCGCTTGGTCCAGGACGTAGAGCGGGTCGGGCAGGGCGCTCGGGTCAAAGCCCTCCTTGGCCATCCGAACCTTTTGCTGCTTGAAGGTCTCTGTGGTGGCCAGAGACTCCTGGGAAGGGGGCATCAAGGGAGTTGAAGAGAGGGGTACGCTGCCCAGGTGGCTCAGGTGAGTTGCCTGAATTTTATTAGGGGGCAGGTCTGGGAAAAGGGGGTCATGAGGTCAGGGTTCAGGGGAGGAGGTGACAGGGAAGAGAAGGAGCCAAGTCTAGATATGAAGGGGTGAGGAGCATGTCTGGGAGGAGCTGCTCTTCCTCTTCAGTGTGTTATGGGGTGTCCCTTGGTGGGGTTTGGGAGCCACCGACTGCTGCACAGAGATGGGGTGCATATGTGGGGCGAGAGGCCGCAGCAGGAGTGGATGGTTACCTGGAGCCGTAGGAACCGGGGCCAGGCGTAAGGTGGCAAGTGCTCAGAAACATAGGCGTAGAGCTGCCCGAGGTCCAGTGGGTGGGGGGGACGCAGAACCAGGGCCGCCATTCCAGCCCTGCCTTCGTGCCCTGGGGAGGTGGGGGCAAGGCTCAGCCTCAGGCTCCCGGTGCCCAAGTTACACCGACTCCGGGAGGTGGGCCAGGTGCCCCCCCAGCTCCCACGCTTGGGCACCTGGCACGGTGACTCCATAGACGTTCACCTCCTGGAGGAAATCCAGGGCCTCCAAGGCCTCCGCCACCTCGGTCGTGGCCACATTCTCCCCCTTCCACCTGCCAGAGAGCAGATTCAAAACCGGGAGGTAGGAGTCAGGGCCCCAGAGCGGCGGGGAGAGTGTCGGAGATGAGGGCAGGGGCCAGAGGTCTGGGAGGAGAGGTGAGATGAGGAGCCGGGCTGGGCTGGCGGATTACGGAGCTGAGGTTTAGGGGGCCCGGGCCACAGAGATGCGAAGCCTGGACGGAGACAGAAGGTATGGACAGATACCTGAAGGTGTCCCCAGTACGATCATGGAAGCGGAGAAAGCCTTGGTCATCGCAGACCAACAGGTCCCCGGTGTTGAAGAAAAGGTCCCCCGGCCGGAAGACGTCCTTGAGCAGTTTCCCCTGGGCCAGCTCTGGCTTCCCGGCGTAGCCCAGGAACGGAGACTGCTGGCTCACCGGGGCCACCAGCAGCCCTGGCTCACCTGGCAGAGCAGCTGGGGTCAGGGGTGACTGCGGCCTCCCACCCCACTCTTCAAGGCCAATCACCCCTAGCCAGCTTCATCCCCCCCCACCTCCCCCACCCCCCCCACCCCCAACACAGACCTGCAGATGTGGCCACACAGTGCCCCCGCGTGTCCCGAAATGGCTCCCCTGTGGTGACATCATAGCGAATCAAAGAGAAGGGGAAGACATGCTGGGGAAGGGAGCCCCAGGCACTGGGTCATTTCAGTTGCATGAAGGCCCTCCCAGCCACCCGCCGGCTGTCCCAGGGCTCGAGCTCCTTCCTCCCCTCACCTTGTAAAGCCAGGAGGCTCGGCCCACGGCGCCCCGCCGGCCGGTGTAGTTGAACGTGGCCACGTTGCCCTCCGTCAGTCCGTACGTCTCCAGCACCTGCAGGGGCCCGAAGCGCCGCACGAAACGCTCCCAGGTGTCCGGGCGCAGCCCACTGCCCACCGCCAGCCGGACCTGGTGTCCACGTTCTGCCTGGTTCTGAGAACGTGCAAGGAGGGGCAGGAGCTTTCACACCAAGATGCCAGCTCCCAAAGTGAAGTCCTGTTTGTCATCCCCCAGAAATCCTTCCACCGAGATGCTCAGACTCCCTAAGCATCAAATGTCCTGTCGTTCCAGGCTTCCTCCTCTGCCTCCAACTCCCAGACACCTGTCCCGGTGTCTCCTGGCAACTGCCCATCTCCCTGCCTTGGCAGCTCCCCCCGTCCCCCCCCCCGCCCCCCCAGCATCTGAGCCCACGCACCGGGGGCTGGTTGACGAGATATCGGCATAATTCCCCGATGTACTGGAACACCGTCACCCTGTGCTTCTGGCAGTCCTCCCAGAACTGACCAGCTGAGAACTTGGACTTCAGTACCACTGTGGCCCCTGCCAGAAGGGGAGAAAGGAGAGCGAGGAAAGAGGTAGATTAAGGGCTGTCGGGGGAGCCCTGCCCCCTTCTTCCCAGACACTAGCTTGCAGCGCCCCAGTAGCATTCTCACTTGTGGGCTGGCCAAGCTGGCCCTCTTCCTTTCCCACCTGTGCCTCAGAGGGTATGCCCTTTCCTCGCCCCATCGGGTACCCTGCCCCAAGTCCCACCCCTCCTCTCCATGTGCCTCCTCCCGGACTGACACTCCCAGCCCTTCCAACCCCTTGTCCCTGGAATGCGGAGTTCTGTGAACACATGGCCTCCCACAGTGCTCAGCCTGCAGGTCTGTGAGGTGACATTTCCCCACTGTACCGGGAGCTCCTGGAGTAGGCCCTGCCTGCCTTCTTGCTCCCTTCTCCACCTGAAGGACTCGGGGCAACCCAGGTGGGCACCCCAGCAGGTGCTTCCTAAATGTGTGCTAGAGGGCGACATGGGGGTTGGCGAGGGGAGACTGACCAATGCCCAAGCAGCCCACGATGCCCAGCAGGGAGCCGGACATGTGGTAGAGTGGGAGGGCCAGGTAGATCACATCCTCCTGGTGGGCACCGCACAGCTGGTAGAAACCCTGGCACTGCAGGACCTTCAGGTGACTGATCCGAGCAGCCTTGGGGAGGCCTGGGGGGAGACCAGGGGAAGGGCTCAGCGCCAAGCCCTGCCTCCCTCGTCGCCCCTGTTGGGTTTCCCACAGAAGGAGGCACAGAGGCAAAACCGAAGCTGAGAAGGGAGGCCAGGCTGACTTGGAAATGTGGGAAGATCGGGAAGGCAGAGAAAGGACCGGAATGAGAGGGTTGGTGAGAGAGGACAGGGCCGCTGGGATCACCATCTCCTCCGGGGGGTTGGGAGGGGTGGCCTGGGAGCTGGGAGGTCCCAGGTCCTGTCCCAGACCCTTGTCTTCCTCTGCCTGAGTTTCTGGGAGGTAAGCATGGTGACCAGCCCTCACCGGTAGTACCAGAGGTGAAGATGTACAGGCACGTGTCCATTATGCTCTGGGGGGCAGATAAGTATCCGGGCACCGGTGCGTCCACTTCAGCGGAGACCTCAGCCAGCAGATCGCGAATGCCAGCGGAATGAGCTTCAGGGCCTGCAGCCCACAGGCGGAGCCCCATGGCTCTCAGGGCCGGCAGGTCAGGCTCCAGGGACTCCAGGAACTCTGGATGCGGCAGGAAAGCACAGCTCCGCGCTCCGCCCACCGCCACCCAGAAGCCTTTCCCACCCCTAGCTTATGGGCGTGGCCACTCCCCCCCCCCGCCCCCCCGCCCCCCCGCCCCGCTCTTGGGTGAGAGTAGAGTATGGACGTCCATCCCTTCGCAAATCCACAGACTCCTCCCCACCCTTTGGGAAGCCCAGAAACGTTCTCGGGTACCTTCCGAGCCCGTCCCGTCGGACCCCGCCCCGCCCCTTCCCTGCGGGCCCCGCCCCGCGGGCGCTCAGCCTCACCTGGCGCCAGGACCAGCGCGCTCGCGCCGCAGCTGCGGAGGCAGTGCAGCAGGGGGCCCCGGCGCAGGGCGGTGGGCACGAAGGCCGTGCGCAGGCCGGCCTTGGCCAGCCCGAACCAGAGCCACAAGAACTCCGGGCCGGCAGGGAGGAGCAGCGCCACGGTGGCCCCAGGTGCCAGTGGTGCCGCGCCATCCCCTTCCCTCGCAGCCCGCGCCTCCTGGCTTCCGGCTGCCCCCTCGCCTTCCCGGGCGCCCCCCGAATCGCCGCCGCGGGGGCCCTCTTCCCAGCCCCGCGCGCGCAAGAAGGCGCGCGCCGCCCGGTTGCTCTGGCGCTCGGCCTCCGCGTAGCTGAAGCGCCGCGCGCCGTGGATGAGGAAGGTGTGCGCCGGGCGCTGGCGAGCCAGCTGTGCGAGGCGCCAGGCCAGGCTGCAGCCTCCCTCGGGGCTCTGCGGGTCGCCGGCGGCCGCGGCCAGGGCGCGTGCTCCGAGCGCGCGTTTGCATCGTAGGGCGCGAACCGCGAAGGCCAAGTCTGCCGCCCACCAGCGCCACTGTGGCCAGAAGTGCAGCAGCAGCGGCAGCAGCAGCAGCAGGGGCAGCAGCAGCAGAGCAGCCATCGCGCCCTCTTCCTCGACTCGGCGCCGTCTGGCACCAGCCTCTCGCTTCTGGCTGCTGCTGTCTGGTACTTGCTTCCGAGAAACTGGGGCCTCACTTTCTGGCACTGAGACCGCTCCTTCCCCGGAGCGCGCGTGCGCTGGCACACGCCCCTTCCCCCAGGAGGCGAGCTGGGGCGGAGGTGGGGGCCGGCCCCCGCACTCCCGGCCTCCCCACCCCTACGCTCCGCCCTGGACTCGCTCCTTCCAGGCGACTCGCCTGCACCTCCCCAGGTCCTGGGCGGTGCTCACGCCTTCCCTCAATCCCAGGGTCGTCTCATTTTAGGTCCCCTCTCAAGGGCGGTTTAGGCATCTGGCTGGACTTTGGCGTCCAGGCCTGAGCACCAGGACGCTTGGATCAAAGTCCACCTCTCCCTCTTCTCTCATTTGCACCCGTGACGGAAGGGTGCCTCTGTTCTCTCCCAAAAGACCGAAGGACTCGGCCCCTTGCCTGTTTGGTGCTGCAAGTCCCGGCAAGGTAGCCAGACCCATGCCCTCCCTCCAGCTGCCAGCAGCAGCAGCAACCCCAGGGGATGGGTGGGAGCTGGAAGTTAAGTAGGGGAAAGGTGGAGGCCCAGCCCGCCAGATTTCCGGAGGGGCCGTGGCGGAGGCCCCTCCCTTTGGGCAAGGGTACAATAATTGGGGCCAGCCAGTGAATGCTCTCCATCCTGGTTTTAATTGGGGCAGAGAAAACTGGGGAAGGAGAGAGGAAGGAAAAGAGGCCTCTGGCGGCTCAGACTTGCAAAGGAAGGAGTAGGAAGGAGTAGCAGCTCTGAAGGTGGAGAACCTGAGACAAGCTTGCGGGCTTAGCCACTGTGCAGTCAGCCTGAACCTCACGCCTCTCCAGCTCGCACCAACCTCCCTGACAGGAGGGGACAGCACAGCCAAGGGGCTCTTCCTGCCGGTACACAGTGTGGAGGGAGGGGAGCCCCCTCCCTGGTAACCGAACCCTCCACGTGCCAGGATCTGAGTTGGGAGCGTGCCCGTAGTTGGCATTCGGCCTTACTAAATGGAATATGACAAATACCAGCTTCTGGGAGTCTCTACTTGAGATGGTTAAGGACAGATCTCGGCTTACTGCCTGCCCTTCACTGCCAGTGGCAGCCAGAATGATGGGGGACAAAGCCAAGTCCTCTCTGCTTCAGACAAGAAGAGGGGAGGACAGCCTGACCGGTGTGGCTCAGTGGTTGAGCGTCTGCCTATGTATATGATCCAGGAGGTCACGGTTCAATGCCTGGTCAGGGCACATGCCTGGTTTCCGGCTCCATCCCCAGGAGGGGGCATGCAGGAGGCAGCCAACCAATGATTCTCATCATTGATGTTTCTATCTCCCTCTCCCTTCCTCTCTGAAATCAATTTTAAAAATATTTTTAAGCCCTGACCGGTTTGGCTCAGTGGATAGAGCGTCGGCCTGCGGACTGAAGGGTCCTAGGTTTGATTCTGGTCAAGGGCATGTACCTTGGCTGCGGGCACATCCCCAGTGGGGGTGGGTGGGGGGGTGGGTGCAGGAGTCGGCTGATGTTTCTCGCTCATCGATGTTTCTAACTCTCTATTGCTCTTCCTCTCTGTAAAAAATCAGTAAAATATATTTTAAAAAATATTTTTAAAAAGGGGGGGAAGGACAGGAAGGGAACAGGGGGAAATTATGAAGTCACAGGAGGGGTGCCAATTAAACAGACCACTTGTACATGCACAGGGTAAATGGGGGCGGCAACTCCAGCACAAAAGAGGTTCTGGCTTGTTTTATTGTCATTTAAAAACAGCTTTTAAAACACGATTATCTCTGCCAAAGAAAACCCCACAAAAAAACCCAAAGAAGACAACCAAGGAAATGGGACCTTTGACAGTTCTGGGGAGCATGTCTCTGAGGCTCCTTAGGGCTCTGGCCCAGCGTGAGGTGCCTCCAGGGCACACCAGGTGGGGCTGTGCCTCCCTCTCAGGTTCCTTCCTGAGCGCCTGTGGCATCTGCCCCAGGGAAACAAACAGGCAGCCCGACATTGTCACAGGTTAAATGCCCGTTTCATACCAGTGTACGGAGAGCGACTAGAAGCTGCCTGTTCAGGGCAAATTAAGACCTAAAGGGGATCGTCAGAAAGGACACGCGCACCCTTGAGTCTTTCCTCTCATCCTCGTCTGGCCAGCTGCCCCCCTGCCATTTCTCCTCTTGATTTAAACAGCTCTTTGGGCTGGGGGAGGGGCAGGGGCCTGAGGACCTCCCCGCAGCCCAGGTTCCGAAGCCTCCGGCTTCAGGGGTACCCCAGCGCCGGTGGAGCAGCAGCGACGGGCTGGAGGCCCCAGGGAGGGGAGGGGCTGAGGCTGCATGGCAGCGGATCAGGCTTCCCACCGGCCGAGTCTGGGGATGGGGAGAGGGTGCTCCCCTCGTCTCCCCCCGTTGAACCTCCGCTTCACCGAGGAGGAGGGCCGTCCCACTAGGGGTGGGCAGGCGGCAGGACTCAGTCACTGTCAGACCCCACGGCAGAGGACCCCTTCCGCTTCCGCTTGGTGGGCTTCGGTTTTGTGTCTTCTTCCTCCTGGAGGAGAGGGAAGGGGAGCGTCAGCCCGACAGCTGCTGCCCGGCTGCACCTGCCCCCACGCCCCTCCTGCGGGCGAGGGCTCTCACCGAGGCGCTGCTGGAGCCAGACTCTTCCTCCGCATTGGGGGGCTGAGTGGCATTCTTTCGACTCCGGGGGCTGGAGAGAGCTGCTTTTCGCCGGCTCTTGGGGGGTTTGGTGGAAGAGTCCTCGTATTCCTCTGCCAGGGAGAAGAGGTCGCTGAACCTGAGGGACAGAAGAGCTCTCAGAGCGGGGCCTCTGGCCTCCTTCCCATCTTCTCTGCCCCCGGCCCGGGTCTCCATTTCTCTTCAAGCCCCTGGTCTTCCTGGTCATTAAGTCTGTGTCCCCAGCGGCGCCCCCCCCCCCCCCCCCCGCCCTTGGCCTTCCCCACTACTTCCCAAAGAGCCTCACTTCATCTTGTGCGCCTCATCACAGCTCGCCTGGACATGCTGCAGCGCCTGGAGAATGGGGGTCTGGCTAAAAACTAGAGGGAGAGGGCAGGGGCAGCAGGGAGGAAGAACAGTCAGAGGTCTGGGAGCTTAACCAGCGGTGCCCAGGGGTGACTTTCTCCTGCCCCGCTCCCACCCGGCCCAGGGGCGGTCTGAGCCAGGGTAGCACCAGGCAGGCTGGACTCAGGGGGACTGGCGCATACAGTTCTGCTTGGTGTTGGTCAGGTTGAGACGCAGGTTGTCCAAGTGCTCCAGGATCTGCTCCAGAGTCAGCTGGGCCAGCTTGCTGCTGGAGCTCCTCAGGCTGCAAGGAAGCCATGAGAACCAGACCTGAGCTCCAAGTGAGGGCTCCAGGAGTGCAAGGCACTCTCCCCCACCAGGGTCCCTCCTGACGACAGACACATCCCATACAGGGAGGGGACAGAGGGCTGGGATGGGATCAGGGAGGTGAGCTGGAATAGGGACCAGCCACAGGGCACTAGGAAGAGGGGAAGGGGCCACATGGTCCTGTGTGCGGTGTAGCTTCGGACCACTGGACCACTAGGTGTCACCCACAAGCCAGGCAGGGACAGCATGGGCCGCCCCGGGATGGAGGGTGGACAGCAGCAGCTCGGCCTGGTGTGTCCTGAAGGGCCCACTCCCACCTCTGCCTCTTGCGTGGGAGGCTGTTGTTCTTGATGAGCAGGGACTTGATGTGCTCGGCCAGCAGTTCATCGTGCTTCATGCACCAGTGTCGCAGGATGCTGGTGGTGAACTGGTCATCGGGGTGGCAGGGCCGGCTCAACACCATCTTTACCATCTCCTCGCTGGGCCTGGGGGCGAGAGGGGCTGTGGGCACCCGGCTCACACGGCTGGCCGCAGGAACCTCCAGATCGCTCCCATGTACTTATTTCCCAAACCTCAGCCTTCCTCACCCTGCCCCACCCGAGTCCTGTAGCTTCCTACTCTCACATCCCTCTCCCTCTTCTCTTTAGGCCAAGGAATGTGGTTTCATCCTCTGCAGAAGCCAGGAGACAAGAAGTGAGATTCTGTAGTTTCTGTGGTGGCAGAAGGTGCGTGTGGACCTGCGGGGAAGGAAGCCCCCAAGTCCCCCCCTTTCCCCAAAACATTCAGGAAATGACCAGGGAGGCAAAGGACAACATGTGATGTGTGAGCACTGCCCCGTCTCCCCCGCCCCCCCATCCTGAGGCTGTGAGCCACACTAGTACCCAGCCCAGGGAAGGCGGGGGTGAGGGCTGGGAGGGCACAGTCCCCACACAGTCCTCCTGCCTTCCCGCTTCCTTTAGGACGCTTTGTACCACTTCTAGTCTCTCAGGCAAGAGAGGAGAAAAGGGAAAGACAAGACAAGAAGGTATGAAGGAAAAGACAACAGCTGTTGTGCCATGTATACGGAGCTGTTGCAAAAGTGCCTGTGATGGCCCTGACCAGTTTGGCTCAGTGGCTAGAGCGGCGGCCTGTGGACTGATGAGTCCCAGGTTCGATTCCGGCCAGGGGCATGTACCTTGGTTGCGGGCACATCCCCAGTGGGGGATGCAGGAGGCAGCTGATGGATGTTTCTCTCTCATCGATGTTTCTAACTCTCTATCCCTCTCCCTTCCCTTCTGTAAAAAATCAACAAAATATATATTTTTTAAAAAAGTGCCTGTGATGGCCCTGGCTGGCGTGCTTGTGTGCTCAGTGGTTAGAGTGTCAGCCTGCGCACTGAAGGGCCTACGATTCCATCCCCTGCCCCAGCTGGGGCACGTGTGGGAGGCAACCAATGGATGTGTCTGTTTCACATCAATGTTTCTCTCTCTCCTCCTCCTCCTCCCCCCTTCTACTCTCTCAAAAAAATCAATGGAAAAAATATCCTCAGGTGAGGATTAACAAACCAACCAACAAAAAGTGTCTGTGATGGGGGCGGGGCCTCTCCGCCTCACCCCCCAGCAGGGAACCAGCAGGTCAAGGAAGCAGGTGGTGTGTGACCCCTCTGCTCTGACCCTTCCTCCTCTTGGATTAGCCGAGGGGTGGCCTCAAGGGCCTGGGGGAGGGGAGCAGCAGCTCCCGGGATTAGAACTGCTGTGGCAGCAGGAAACAGGGATGTCCGGTCCCCACCCCCAGGGCAGCTCCTGGTGGGCAGGGGG